AGGGCCTGCCCCACCCTCCTGGGCTTGGTCTTGAGCACACGCTCGGTTTTACAGGAGGTATAGAGCGCTTCTACGTCTTCCCGGGAGATGAGCGTGCATTTGGCCGCGTGGAAGGCAATACTGTTGATTGCTTTGAGTTTCCGCAACTCCTCCAGATCGCAGTGGTGCTTTTTCACTTTCAGATGATCCATGCGCTTGTGCACGGTCGTCCTCGGGATGTTTTTCAGCAGATCTGTGAAGACTTGGGAGAGAGCAAACATTTGCTTTCCTTTAATGATGAGGTAGCCGAGCCTCACGCCATCCACCTCTTCGAAACCTGACTTCAGGTCTCCCATCTCGGGCACTAAATGATCCCCACCATTTGCAGTAAATATATACGTGACGCATACATACACATGTATGTATGTTAATCCTCCGCCAGATGCTGCGTGTGTCTCAAGGCATCCTGCTAATAAAATAACAAAGACTGTTATTCCCGGCGAAGGGAGTGCCAAACTCTAGGCGAATTATTGGGGGGGAGAAAAACCCCATGAAATTACACTGACTTGATTCTTGCTTTTTTTTTGGTTTTCGTTTTTTTAAAAAAGAGGGAAAAAACCATCCGGTTTCAGGTCTGCCAGTGTGTTGGTCTGAGTCCTCGATGCAGATCAGTACCTGGGCCCCTCTACTCCTTCCTTCTCCATTGGAGCACTATGATAATGGAATGTGAAGGGAGAAAGAGAAAAGAAATGCAGCTGCTATTCCCGCCGCTGCTTTAGCTACAAATAAAATGACAGAGTGAAGTGAGCTCGTCCGGAGACACCTTCATCAATTAATTCCCCTAAAGCCAACGCTGATTGGACACTCCTGACAGGTGATGCAATAAAAATTGATATTCCACCCCTTCCCCCCAAAATCTCCTACTAATTAGCATACCCTTATACTGCCACCTCCCCTCCCAAAGTAAATAATACAGCCGGTATATAAATCTTTCCATTAAACTATCGGAGCTCAGAAACAGCCTGACTCACAGACTTCATCAGAAGCAGTGTGTACGCAAAAAAAAAAAAAAAAAAAAAAAAAAAAAAAAAAAACCAAAAAAAAAGCCACCGTATATTCCCCTTTAAAGAAATACTGCCTATTTTTGCTTTATTTGCATTTTACCGATACAGCTATTATCGTTTCAAAGGAAAGCATTTTAAAAACATTATCAAACCCAAATAGATATACCCCACCCCTCTTTTCTTTGGAAAATGAAGCTTAAGGGAAAACGTGCCAGAATAGCCTGGTATTTCCCTTATGGGAGTGGGGAAGGAGACAGACTGGGAGCTCCAAAGTTAAACCGAGAGGTGAACCACCCCAGTACAGACTCACGTTTGCAATTTCTCTCGCCCGCCCCCCACCCCACAAGCCCTTTTACAACCAGAAACAAAGTTATTTGACCAAGAAAGCAGTTCAAGGCTCCAGCCCAGGAACATGTAACAATTCAACCGGATTTCTGTTCTCTGCTGGCGAGTGGGGTAGGGAGGAGGTAGTTTCACATCAGACCCATAACAAAGCATAGATAAGCCAGAAATGTGTACACTTTTCAGATTAACCAGCCTGGACTAGAGTGGGATCGTTCTAGAGTGTCCAGCACATCATTTAGCCACGGTCCTGTCCTTCACAGAGCAGACTTCCAGGGAGCAGATTCCTTCCTGCTGCAGCAAAGGGAAAAAAAATGTAAAGCCCTAAGGTGCTTCCAGAAGTTTCACATAAAAACGAGGAAAAGAAAGCGCTGCTGTATGATGCAGACTATTTCAGTAGTGATGATGGTTTGCCTGGGAGTTTAGATGATTCTTCCACAGCTCCCATTTTCCCCCATGCAAGCCAGGCATCTGTTTTAACAAAATCAGTTTGGATGAATATCAATTTGGTTTAACCTCTTCTTAGTCACTAGCATGGCTTACTGTCGTTTTCAAGAATATCCAAAATATTGCCAAGTGAGAGCGAGGGTCTTTCCACTTGCATTTTGCAGGATCTCGGGGTGGTTGGTGGGCTGCTTGGCGAAATCTTCATTCCTGTTTCCAACTACAGCATAAATGCAACCCAGGCATCTACATGTTTCCTTTTTCCTCCCAAAACAGACATATCTCTGAGGTTAAAGAATGAGCGGATATTTCTGAACCTGCAAGAAAAAAATGCACAATAATTTCTTTCTTCATATTCAAAAGTTCCAGTTTCCCCTGCTGTGGTCTGGCCAGCAGGAGCAGGTATGAGTCAAGAAAAGGGAGGGAGGAGGGAAGAAAGAAAAAAAAAATCTTAAAACAAAAAACCAGGAATCAGACATGTAAAAAGGTAGTTTGCTTGACAAGATGAAATCTCAGCCATAGTTCCCCACCCCCACCCTCATCTCCTTTGTAATTTTCCTAGGAATTTTGAAGAGAATTGGGAATTTCAAGAAGTACATCCGGAAATTAAGGAAGTCTATTTAAGAGCGTCTGTAACTCAGGAGGTTGGGATTTGAAAAGTCAGCCCTGGACTACTGTTGCACTCAGCACAGATGTAATCGCCGCTCTTCAACTTAATCAATGTGTGTACAAACCTCGATGTCTAGTTCTTGCCTTTGAAATCTAAGGCTGGCATTTCCATCCAAGAAATCAGAGCTACAGCAAATTACATTTTTGTCCCTTGAATGAGAGAAGGATCATTGAATGGATCTCGTGATATTTCAGGCTTTAAACGTAACCGAGAGGCAGCAATGAACAATGCCTCGTCACAGCTAATACCATCCACCGACTTGGCTTTCTTTTGCATCTGGTTCTATCACACCGAGTTTTTCTCTTTCACTTTCACAGGAGGCAAAATGTACAAGCTTTAAGCAGAAATCGAAGTTTCCAGGAAAAGCAAATGCTGGTGTTTGTTGTTTTAAAGTAGGATGACAAACAGCTAAGAAATAGTAAACTAAAAATAAAGGGGTGGGGGTTTAAGAAGACATTACAAAAGGTTGGCTATGGCGTCTTTTTTGAAGGGGGAAGGGGGCAGGTAGTTTTAGTTGTTCCTGGTTCTTTAGATTCTTCCCTCCCCACCCCCATCCCCATGCTTCTATCTCCCCTGCACATACATGTATACTTTAGTAAACATTTCAAATTTGCCTTTCTGTTTCGCCACCTTTGAAACACTGGGACTATAAGTGCTTTGAAAATTAGTACAATATTGAGTATGGTTTCTAAAGTAAAGGTGTAATCTGTTGGATCAATTAGAGAAAAGGCAAAGAACAAGGGATTTGTGGGATGTATGTCTGCATACTTAGAAAGTGTCTCAATGTACATAGAGACATACCTTTACATTTATACATTTTAAATACTCCTATTACTCATCTTTCTTTTTGTCTAACACATTCTTTTGTTCCTGTAACTTCCCCATCCTAGTGTGAGTGTGTTAAGGCTCCAGGACTGGGGCTTGTGTACACACACACACACACACACACACACACACAGAGAGAGAGAGAGAGAGAGAGAGAGAGAGAGAGAGAGAATGTGACAGACAGCTTTCTTGTGGCCATCAGCACACGTTGCATATCCGGGGTCTTCTCCAGGCACATTGGGGGTCGATCCCGATAAAAAGACCTAGCAGAGGCCCCTGAGCGCTCACACATGAAAGGCAGGGGACTTTAAGATGGATTTGCATGCACACCGGGGATTTCGATCAATAGCTACCAACATTTATGGCTTAGATTATTAATGCGAAAGCTGGCCAAAAGAATAGGGATGAAAAATTAAAGGTATCTGTTATCAATTATGCTTAAAGTTATGCAATAATTTACTTAGTTTGCCTGGATGTGCAGATCCAGATGTATGAAGTACTATTCTTCAAAAGCCAGGGGGTTTCTTTGATAAATTTGTTGACCATGTCAGCCGCCTCTGCAATCAAAGATGAACCCAATTCAGATGATGGACTGTATTCAAATTCTTTTTAAGGAAGGATATATCAATTTCTATGGTTCTCAAACACATGTACATATGGGGGAATATGCTTAAATGAACATTTACACATACATATATACATCTCTGTAAGTCTAGGGAATAACTGTGAATTCAGGTATATATATACATATGCATATATATATGTGAGATATGCATTGAGTTTGTTAATGAAATGTGATCATTTACTCAGGGAGAAATGCAAAGTCTACACTATCCTAAAAAGTATTTTAGCTTTGAAAACAAAGCTGCTTTCTAAGGAAATATCCTCTGTAGCAAATACAGTTTCCAATGTATTCTTAATGTCCACTTATTTCTGCATTTATTATAAAAAAATCAGCACTTTCAGTTTTTAAAGTGATGGACTATGAAGATCTGAACATATTTGTCTTTACTTATCCCATATGACTGTGCTAAATTCACCTTCAGATGCTCTATTTTGATTTATTTTCACTGTATTTTATGTTTAAATACCATAGCAATTCAGTCTGACCTCTTTCCTCTGGAGCGAAGTAATGCACAAGGCATTCAGTCTTTTAAATGGTTAGCTGGGAAATGCAACAGCAATTTGCAGGAGTAGTTTACTAATGGGGAAAGTTCTTTTGAAAATCTGAAGGAAAACCTAAAGTACTTTTGCATTTCTAACCTACAACTGTTATATAATTAAAGTATTGAAGGGCATTAAAATAATCCTTTTTCATCCATGCTCTCACCCATACATTCATAATTTAAATGAGGGTCACACATACCACAACCACCACCATAAAACTCTTCACCATATATATTTGTTTTAGTGACTGCTGGGTACATTTTGTTCAAAGTGAATTCAGAGAGAAAAGAGTAAGGGACATCACAAAGGACCCAACAATGTAAGTACCATGGTTAGAAGAATAAAAGAAGTCTTCTATACTGTTAACTAAAATTAACTAATGATAAGAAGTATAAAATAATGATACCTCATATAACTGAATTAGTTGAAGATATAAGACAACACAATCTAAATAGTCCTCTAGCTATGCTTAACTGATGTCACATCTTCTCTCCTTTTTGGGAGGTGAAAATGGGAAGAAAAGAAGAATAATTAGCTAAAATAAGGGATAAACTATAATTTAGGATATTTTCTTTAAACTTTTTTTTTTTTAAACTCATTCAAATATATCAGGGCATGTTTCCCAATGGGCCCATCCTTCTGTTCTTAGACATTTAAAAATCCTGTCTTTAACAGAAGTTTGGGACACAGAGTATGTGCCATGTTGTCTATTGACCCATAATCAAAATGCAGTGACCTTCTACCCCCTTTTTGCCCCCTGACCCATCTTGAATTCAATGCAGCCTTTATAAATTTGCAAATCCTTGGAGGTAGAGGGTTTTTTGTGAGGCTTTGTTCTGAAAAAACCCTAAGAGTGTGCTTTCTAAATTAGACAAAGGTAATGCTGAAAACCTTAGTGGATGAGATTTTATGCAGGTGAGCACTGGGCAACTCTTCAGATACGAATATTGCAAGCTAAACAAAACAGTTATACACATAAGAGACAAGGAGGTTACAGATTGCATTAAATTAGAGTGTGGTACAAATCACTTCCATGATGTTAGGAATGGTTAGGCCACAATCTTCCTGCTTTTCTCATCTCAAGGGCTGTGGGGGACCCTAGTGACCAAGGAAAGAATGGGGGGGGGGCTGCACAGAGAGGAGGAAAAAAGGTGGGGGAGGAGTGAGACCTGATCTGAATCTGCAGGCACATCCCTTATCTCTCCTGCTATCAGCCAGTTTAAAGGACACCATAATTATGATGGTGATAAAACAATGCCTGCTTATGTGTGCTGAATAAATAAAGAATGTTTACAGCTCAAGAATCTTTTAATTCCAATTAAATGCTATCAAAGAAAAGCCACTTTTCCTACTACAACTGCCTTTCCCCCCAATTATCCTGTTTTGTTGTAATATTTTCCTATGAGACACAAGGGCCTTTCACAATTGATCCTGAACATAGAGGACAAACTCACAGAAAGTAAAGTTCAATCTTCTATTAAATAATACACAAATCTCAAGAAGGAACATTTATTGGGGTTACCCAAGTTTTTGTTTATTTTACACGAAGGCCAAATGTGAAGAAACTGGAGTGATGACATTAAGTGTTGAGGCCTACCTAAGGGCTGCTGAAGCTACACTAAAATCTTCAGCACCCAGGAGAGAAAGGAAAGATAAGGCAGAAGCAGTGTGATGGTCTGGAAGGGAATCCTCTGGTTCTGTTCCCCTGGCTTTAGCCCAAATCCTTCGTAAGCACTGGAGCCAATCACTGTCTTCCACTTGCAGCTACTGGGAACACACAAAAAAAGCGGGAGATTAAAAAAAAAAATCACAAGTTTTATTTTTATGGATATGTATCATTTCATATTCATGACATCAGCAAATCACATCATGATCAAATTTAGACATGGTTTGAACACTCATACACATCAAGATAGTCACTGAACACAAATTTGCTTTTTATCTCGTGATTATAGAGCAAAAAATAAAGTCTGTTAACTTAGACGAGCTAACTTCTCAAAACTCGAGAACAATTTACACTAGTAAATTGCACATAAATGCTTCTTCTAAAGTTGTTTCATAACATTTTAATTCAATTTTTTTCTCCTTCCTTTCTGTTTGGAAAGTGTTTTGTTTGTTTTTAAAAACACGTGGCACAGGACATATTATGGAAAATGTACCCATTCTGTTAAATGCCTATACAAACGTCCCCTTTACTCCATCTAAATAATGGTTGGCTGAGCAGAAGCCGAACAGCAACAACAAAAATACACTTTACTCGAAGAAATTCTTTTTTTTTTTAATTTCAAAGCAAATAGTATTTGGTGAGATGGTACAAAAATCAATAGCAAAAAAAACTTCAGGGTATTTCCAAGTTTCTGGAAAGTTGCAGGCCCCTTCCCTTTTGAAAAGTTTAGAGATCCAATACCCTCAATTCTACTGGCAGAATTAGGTGGACTTAGAGGGTCCTAAACGTGACTGATTCACTAAGGCGGGGGGCTACAGCATGCAGCAACGTGCTCGGCAACTTAATCCTACGCTAAAAGAGGGCAGAGAGCGAAAAAGAATGGAATACAAACTCTCCCGACGTTCCTAGTAACTTTCAAGGTGGATTGTGTATTTTAAGGCCGATGGGAGCGTCTGGTTTTTGGAGGAAAAAGAAGAGAAGGTAAGTGTTTGTCCTTGTATCCACCAGTTGGTAGAGAAACAATGAAAGAACAAAGGGAACCACTTCCTCATCTGAACATTTTGTGATTCTCCCTGGGTTTCAAGCCTAAAGCTTACACAGGCAATTCGCCTTACTCTATCTTAAGTAGTAGGTTACTAGGGTTGTTAAACTAAGAATGAGAGAAAAGTTGAGAGGCCGTATAAATAGGCTAAATAATAATAAAGGCTTGCGGTGGCGAATCTGCACTGCGCCTGGCGCGGCAACTTACAGAAGTTTGAAAACGCATGAAGGCACAGTCCAGGAAATAACCTTTGCATCCTAGGTCTCGAACTCAAGTTTTTTTAACAGCCTTTCTTGTTTGATGAAATCTCTGCGCAGGTTGTAGTAGGTACTGTTCTATGGGAAGAGAGTGGTGTTCGATTTAGGTCTAAATATGTTTTCCATTGCTATCTTAAAGAATAATTTTAAAAGAGGATTCAATTATTGACGCTTCTGCTTGCTAATTTAAGAAATGGCAGCGATAGCTGAGGGAGGAGAGGGATGGTATTTAAATATATTTGCGTTGCGTACACTTTGGTTATTGGCAAATCTGCTTTTGTGGGTCTCTGTGACTAAGTGACTGGGCGCTCTCTGCATTCTATATAAATGGATCCGCGTGTGGGGGGAGCTCCCAAAGACGTCGAGCACGTGAAACATGATTTTTTTTTTTACTGCCCCCCAAGCAGCGACCAAGCCCCCGTCCACCCCACCCCACCTCAAAATGCGTATATTACCTGCCCTGTTACAGTGACACATGTTTATGTTTATAGTCCTGGTTTGTAGTAGCGTCAAGAGCCGCGGAGAGGAGGGGGGGAGGAGAGAGGAGAGGGAGGAGTAAATGCAACCACCCCCACTTGTTGTTAAAGCAAATTTACTGCG